AGGATCTGGATTGCCGTGAGCAAGGTCCCTTGAGGCTGTGCAACACAGCAGCCACTAGCCCCATGCAGCTATACAAATGTCAATTTAATTAAGTCCAATACAGTTAAAAATCCATTAATCACACCAGCCATATTTTGGTTGTTTAATAGTCCCATGGGGCTAGTGGTCACCATACTGCACAGTGAGGATATAGAATGTGACCTTCATTGCAGAAGCCCAACAAGTGGTGCCCGGGTTTGGATTTCAGCCATACCACCCTGTGTAGCTTAAGGACAGGAATAGCCAGAGGGATGCTATTAAATCTGAATCAGATAGTCACTCTTCTGCTGTAGTCCCCTTCCCCCACCTTGGTTCCCACCTGAGAACAAGCCAGTGCCTTCAGCATGCCTGAGTGGCCTGGCCTGTTCCTCCCCTGACCTCCTCTCCATCTCTCCCTTCTGAACACCATTCTGCCCCAGGGCCTTTGCACTTGCCCTCCTTGCTCCTTTGGGTGCTGTTCTCCCAGACAGCTAAAGGGCTATTTTTCTCTCTCCTTTCAAGGCTTCATTCAAATGCCACTTTCTCAGGACACCATCCTTGGCAAACCTGTTTCCCCATCTTCCAGACTTTATTTTTTTTCCACATACCAACCACCATGTGTAGTATGTTGTTCTTACTTGTTTAATGTGTATCTCCTCCAAATAGCACATCCGTTCTGCAAAAGTGGGAAGTGGTGTGTTGTTGTATTCAAGGCTGTGTCCCAGTCCTAGAAAAGGGCTTGAGTCATGTAGTTACTCAGTGAATGTTTTCAAGTGACTGAGTGAGTGGGTGAGTCAATGAAAGAACGGATGAATGGGTGGGTGTTCTCTCCAGGGCTAGGGCAGTGATGAGTCCCTGGCCTTGGAGACATTTTTTTACTTCATAAATGCATCATAGCAGCTTCAACTAGTGTCCTGGGACAGTTTGAGCACCTGGGTTAAAACCTTTGGGTAGCTATAGGCACAGATTTTTCGGGCACCCAACCTCCAGTTAGCATCCGAAACAAATGTCAAACCATAGCAAGTGGCAAGCAGTCTAAAACGTTCTGAAATCAGTGCCTACTTTGCCTTGTTGGTGATATCAGATTCTCTGTGTGTACAACATTATCATTTTATGAGGAAAAAGCCCAGCAGAGCACCTTTCTAATAGGGCTGGTTTGCATCAAGTAACCCGAAATAAAAAGAATGGAATATGTGGTCCACATCTCAGTCAGTATTTTTGGTCATTTTTTTTTCCAAAAATTTTTCATTTTCATTTTTTTGGTAATTTTTTTCATTTTTCATTTTCATTTTTTGGTATTTTTCTTCATTTTTCATTTTCATTTTTTGGTAATTTTTTTCAATTGTAAAAAAAATCTTTTTTTTTTTTTTTGTTGTTGAGACAGAGCCTCAAGCTGTCCCCCTGGGTAGAGTGCTATGGCTTCACTGCTCACAGCAACTTCCAACTCCTGGGCTCAAGCGAGTCTCCTGCCTCCGCCTCCCAAGTAGCTGGGACCACAGGCACCCGCCACAATGCCCGGCTATTTTTTGGTTGCAGCCATTATTGTTGTTTGTCGGATCCAGGTTGGATTTGAACCCGCCACCTTAAGTGTATGTGGCTGGCGCCTTAGCCGCTTGAGCCACAGGCGCTGAGCCAAAAAAAATCATCTCTATAGGAAAGAATAATGTTCAATGCTTACATTTCATCAGTATTTTTCTTATTTTTTTGGCACCCTTGCTTTGCTGCTGTGCAAAGCACGTACTTTGGTAAGCTTGGTTGGTGATCGGGCATTGCCTGTGTCCACAGCACCAAATCCATTCATTCATTCATTCATTCACCGAGCAGGTATTTATTGAGCATCTGCCATGTGCCAGACTATTCTAGACCCTGGTGATTCAGAGGTGATGGAGAGGGACAAGGTGACTGCGCTCATGGATGTTACAGCCTAATAGGGAGGAAGAGGGTCAGAGGGGTAAACAGAAAAGACAGACTAATAACAGGTGAGTGCGGTGGAGTGGGCCCACAGGAGTTATGTGGGGGTTGGTGGCCTGAGCAAAAGCTCATGGAGGCCAGACATGGTGGGTCAGGATTGTAATCCCAGCACTCTAGGAGGCCGAGGTGGGAGGATCACTTCAGGCTAGGAGTTCAAGACTAGCCTGAGCAACATAGAGATAACTCATCTCGGAAAAAAATAGAAAAATGAGCCAGGTGTTGTTATGGGCACTCGTGGTCCCAGCTACTCAGGAGACTGGGGCAACAGGATCATTTGAGGCTAGGAGTTCCAGGTTGCAGTGAGCTATCATGATGCACGCATTCCAGCCCAGGTGGCAGAGTGAGACTCTGTCTCAAAAAAGAAAAGAAAAGAAAAGCTCATCAAGGCAGAGAGCAAGTCTTCATCCTCCCCTGAGTCCTAGCCTCCAGCCCAGAATCTGGGCTCCGTGAAAGTTTTCAGGCAGAACTAATTCCCATGGCAGCTGGCAAGAGGCCTGGACCTGATGACCTCCGAGGTCTCTTCCCAGTGAGTGGGAAGCTAACCTTTTCATGAACACAGCACCAAATACGGTTGGGCCAGGTTCTTGGCAAGCACACTGGGGAAGCTGGCGGTGGTTTTAGTGCCATTTAGATCGCCCCTTGGTACGATTTGGTGTCTTGTGGAAAGAGCTGCAGAGAAAGTTAAGACCTAAGGCTGCTGTGCAGGTTCCTGCTCTGACCATTCATTCATTCATTCACTCATTCATTCTTTTGTGAAGAAGATACCACTCTGTGCCTCAGAGAGACTCACTTCTCCTTAAAGACCTGGAAAAATACAACATGTTAGACAAAGTAGCTCCGCCTCCCCCACTCCTTCATCTCCAGTAATGACCCAGTCATCCTCCCACCTAAACCATCATCTCCTAATTGCTGAAATCTGACTCCAGTGGCCAGGAAGTTCTAGGTAGTCCTAGATGGAGGCACCCCAATATCTGAAATACGCTCCCCTCTCCCGTGTAAATGGTCAGCAGCAACTCACACTGACCACAGGACTTAAGTGGCCGTGCCAACAGAGACACTTGGCTGGACCAACTCAGTAGAAGGTCTGACAATAACTATAAGGAGATGTTCTTCTTCTCTATGGGTAAGAAGAAAACTGTGGCTCTGCATTGTGAAGCAAGTGGCAGTGAAATCAGAAGTCTGTCTTGACAGCCACGCCTTGGGCATGTCATCTCTCAGTTTCCCCTGTTGAAGAGTCAGGGCAGTGAAGCCTTCTCTGCCTACCTCTGCAGGTTGGTGTGAGAAATCCGGTGATGTCATGCTCCTACCTGAGAATAAGAGGAGGTGGATCCTAGTCATAAAAATAACGATGCCTATGTTCAAAGATGTGGTCATGATATTTTTTGTTTGAAGGTGGGGAACTTCCCCAGAGTGTCTGAAGGAGAAAAATGATTCTTCTTCCATGACAGCTGTTTTTGAAAGTAGAGTTTTCCACTGGGGACTGTCTATATGAAATGCGAATAGAACATATTCTTCCTGTGGCAGTGGATGGTAGAACAATCAAATAATTACCTAGTTTATTTGCATGGCATTTTAACTTTTACAAAGCACTTTCAAATCCACAGCCCACTGAATCTTTTCATGGGGAAGGCTGCAGCTTTGGGGCTAATAAACCTGTGATAGGTCTTCTAGTTCCTGTGTGAGCAAGATAATCTCTCTGAGCCTCAGTTTCTTCATCTGTAAAATGGGGATAATTCTATTCAAAGAGTAGTTTGGCGTGTTAAGTGTGATGTTGCATGTTAAATACTTTGAATAGCTGATAGGAGGTAAATGTGCAATAAATCCTACCACTGTTATTTACGGTGTTTGTAACTCCGTCCATGGTATTCTATCACCTATTCTTGACACGAAGAAATACAGCTCTGAGGCAGCTGTTGTCTCCTGGGGGGTGGCTTGGTCCTGGTAGGGTGGCTTGGCTAGTGTCCAGAGTTTCGGCCTAGAGTCCCTGATCTCACTGCTGTTAAATATTCAGTAAGTCTGTGCTGGTCCATATTCAAAGGCCCTTGTTCCTGGTTAATAGTAGTTCTTTGTTGCTGCCCAGAGGGAGGGTGGCCTTCAGTCAGCCCTCGGACCCTTCAGGCCCCACCCACCCCACTCCCACTTAGGGAGCTGCTTGTGGAAGTGTGTCATATCCTTAGGGTGTGCTGGGCAGGGCATGAAGGGCTGGGGGAGACTCACAGCCTAGCCCATGGCATTGGCAGAGCCCCAGGCTTGTGTCTGTGTGTCATCTTTAGCTGCTCTGATGTGTCTAAACATGCCTGTCCAAGAGGGAAAGATTACAGATGGGCCCAATAAGAGCCAGGCCATGGCTGACCCCTCCCAACCCTCCCCCAGCCTTTCTGGTTAGTGCATTCACGGAGCCTGATGTGTGCCAGGCTCTGCCCTGGGACCGTATACCTGTGTGATCTTATTTTATTTTATTTTTGAGACAGAGTCTCACTATGTCATCCTCGGTACAGTGTCATGGTATCACAGCTCACAGCAACCTTAAACTTTTGGGCTTAAGCAGTTCTCTTTACCTCAGCCTCCCAAGTAGCTGGGGCCACAGGCACCTACCACAGCGCCGGCTATTTTTTGTTACACTTGTCATTGTTATTTAGCTGGCCGGGGCCGAGTTTGAACTCATCAGCCTCGTTATATGTGGCTGGTGCCGTAACCACTGTGCTATGGGTGCCAAGGCCCCTGTGGTCATCTTTAATGCTGAGTGTGTGGGGAGTCCTGTCCTCAGCCTTGCACCCTCCAGAGTGACTCTTGAGAGCATTACATGCTTTAGCGCAGAGCCCCCAGTGGCTTCCTGGCACAGTCACATAGGAAGGTCCTGCCACAGCCTACAAAGCCCGACTCAGTCAGCCCTAGCCACCTCTCTGACCTCAGCATGTCCATTGTTGCTTAACAAACTACTCCAAATGCTGTGGCTTAAGCCATTTTGTCATTTCTGCTGATTCTGGGCACGAGAATGCAGCAGCGCACGGGACATCTGCTGGGGTCAGAGCACCCATGACAGCCTCTTCGTGGCGGTGCCCAGTGAGGATGCCTGGGGTGTTAGGGACATGAGCCAGGGGGCTTTGGCTCTCCTCCTTGTAAGATTACTGCCTCTTCCTCTCCACGTGGTTGAGCCAGGTAGCTGGGCATCTCAACAGCAGCCTGGGTCCCAAGAGCACAGAAGAGGAAGCCACCAGGCCCTCTTATGACCTGGAGCTGTGACTGGCAGAGCATCACTTCTGTTGCATCCTTTGGTTAAAGCGAGTCACAGGTCTAGCTCAGATCAAAGGGGGACCACAGTAGGATCCTCACTCATGTGTCCACCTGCCTCCCCCCATTCACTCTCATCCAACATGCCCGTGAACACACCGCCATCCCTGGGCTTTGCACTTACTGTTTCCCTCTGTCCAGGTGCTTTTCCCCAAATAGTCACAGATCTTCCCTTCATTCAGTCTGTGATAAATGTCACCTCCATAGGGAAACCATACCAGACCCTGCCCCATCAAAAACATCACATACCACCTCCATGCTCTTACATCACTCTGTTTTGTGTTTTTTTTTCATTGCATAATGTTTACTGCCTGTTCATTTTCTTTTTTTCTTTTTCTTTTTCTTTTTTTTTTGAGACAGAGGGTCACTATGTCACCCTTGATAGAGTGCTGTGGTGTCACAGCTCCAACTCCTGGGCTCAAGCAATTCTCTTGCCTCAGCCTCCCAAATAGCTGGGACTACAGGCACCTGCCACAGTGCCCGGCTATTTTTTGGTTACAGCCATCATTGTTGTTTGGCAGGCCCAGGCTAGATTCGAACCCAC